CTTGTCACACCGCCCTCTCTCGCGGCCTAGTCAATCAACATTCGTATTATCGTTATCGTTAACGCTAAACAATCACACCAGGGGCGAATTGCGTCGGTGACTAGAGGCGAGCAGCGTTGTTGATGTCACCGGCGTGGTTCGCCCTAGTCAGTCGCGCGACGCAGTCCCCTAGTGTGGCTTAATTGCGTCCGTGACCGAGGGCAAGATTTAATAATGCATATTGTTCATAGATTTTACGCATGTAAGCAAAGATTTGACGTACTATATATTGGTTTTGTTTTTGAAGCTAGATGGCCGACCGAGAAACATGGATGAGGAGGAGTTGATGATGAATTTGATCAACATGCGGCACTCAAGTTGCGGCGATGATGGTGCTAAAAATAACGTGCAAGAGGATGCAGATGGCGGAGTCGATGACTTAGCTCTTGAACAAAATGAGCAACAACATATTGGCCAAGTATATATTTTTATTATTAGATATATAATTATCATATGTCTTATGTGTGCTCATGACATTAAAAATAATGTTTATGTTTTGTAGCCCTACGGATCGACATCAACAACTACAACGAAGAGTAAAAATGTTCGAGGTCCCAAAAAGCCATTGGAGGGCCGCTTCATCATCTCGGAGTTCAATGTGGATCTGAGCGAACCGGGGGCAAATAAAACGAAATTCATGCACCACTTGTGGTTACCTTATACGAGACCGGCTCCCGATCAGTACCCATGAATGGAAGAAGAAGACCAATGCTCCTCATATCAGTTTTGTCTCCGATCATGACAAGGCGTTAATTTGGAAAGATGTCTTGGTACATTTCACGCTCCAAGCAGATGGTTATGACGATATTATAGATGGTGATGAATTGAAGGGCGAGTTAGGGATTGGGCAATGAAGAAGATGGCCACCAGTTTTAGACTTGGAAGAAACACCTATACACGACGTATGTCAAGAAGAACATAGCACCAGATTTTTCTTGTCCCGGGCCCGATCTCAAAGCGAGAGGCCCTATTGGGATGAGTTTGTGCAGTACAAGACATCGGAAGAGGGTGCGAGTCGGGTGATAAAGAACCAACGTAATGCCCAACATAAGACATACCACCATAACTTGGGATCGGTGGCTACCCAGCGCCATTAAGAAGTGGAACAAAATGGAAGCGCAGACCTTCTTGCCAAGGGGTATCACACCGAATCACTTTCGAGTGGGGAGAGCGTGCAAAGAATTGGTTTTTCGCTCATGGGGAACACCGGACGAGAGAGAGGAAGTGCGTTTATGGCGCAAAGGCTGCAAGAAGCAGCAGAAAGATTGTTTTATGCTCAGAGAGCTACTGCTAGTGGTGCGTTCAGGCCCAACAGAGAGAAGGATGAGCTGACATACGCCATCGGGACTATTAAACATGGTGGCCGAACTAGAGGCAAAGGAAGTGTCTCGTGGGAGCATGGATTCCCTCAGGACAGACCTTCCTACAGAAGCCGCTAGAGAAAGAAGGAAGAAGAGAGCAGTGGCTCCAGAGGTTGGAGGAAGCGGTGCGTGAAGCACGAGGCGGGAAAAAAACCTTGAAGCGAGAATGTAGGAGGAAATCAGAAGGCAAGTGCAAATAGCAGTGAGTGCAAGCAAGCAGGCATCGAGCCAGGAATCAACATTAGCCAATCTGTTCAGTTGAAAAAGCAGTTGCGCTTCCACGGAGATACCAAATCAAGGGGACACAGGATTGCGCTTCCACGTGGATGGCGTCATGAACCTTGTACAAGCGTGTGAGCTACACATTCGAAGGAGAATTCCACAATCAAGGTGGCTATCGGTCTTGTTAATCCTATCGACCGAAGTAAGACACCAAGGATTCATGGGAATATAATCCAAGAAGGATATGCTACCATCTCGGTAGATAAAGCTGAAAAAGGTTTTAGTGATTTGCCTCTTGACATTCCTTCAGGTGATGGCGAGAAGACTCTAGGAGAAGCGGAGAAGACATTCATTCTATGGCACAAGCGCTACATTATCATTCCGAGGATGTCGGCTCCACCTCCTCTGAACTACCTCACCATAGAATGCGTGTGGATGAAAACACTACATCATTAATTTGTATTGGCTTAAATAATTAACAATCTGCTCATAATAATATGTCATTCCTTTTTTGTAGCAGATCCTCCCCAACCTAAATCCAATTGTTCAATCGCTTGAGATCATCATAGTGCTCAGACGATGACATTGTGTTGGAAGGCGAGGCTGCATCCACACCATCTCCAAGGAGGTCTCCAACGCCAAGCCGCCACCTCCAAGGAGGTCTCCAACGCCTGCCAACACCTCCAAGGAGGTCTCAACGCCTCCCCGCCCCGCCTACCAAGAAGCCTAGCAAGAGGCCGGTCCCTCAAGCGAAGAACCAGGTCCACCGCCTACAAAGAAAGCCACCGTGAAACCAAGGGCTATTCCCAAAATAATATCGAAGAGAAGGAAGAAGGAACTGATGCATATTAAAAGATATGTCTAGATTTTATGACAAACTTAAAAGAATCAAGAAGCAAGGAGAAACCGGAGAAACCGTGTACTTATTAGTAGCTCCAGATATTCTAAGAAAAAGGGTGGCTTCTTACCAGCAACAACAGCGGGAATCTCGTAAGCCGTCCAAATCAACGTTATCGGACTATGACCGCACTCTCACCAAGTCAATTGAGGCGGCACAGAAAAAGAAGCGGGCAGGGAAAGGAGTTGCCCAACTCAGACAACAAGCGCACCAATCAGTCCCCCGCTAGTTGTTGGTAATGAATATGGTTCGAATTTAGGATTAATGCATCAGACAAACATACCTCCGGATGTCGATTTGGATCACCTTGGTGAATTTATTGATGAGACTGGTCTCGACCTTTACCAGATGTTTGGTGATGAAAACATTGAGAGTGCGGTGGAGGTTGATATTTGGAAGAAAAAATTTGTACTAGGCCAGAGTCTATACAACCCTCAAGCCTTATCTGATCTGGGGACGCAAATGTACCTGCTAAACAAGTGGTACATGCAGGCGTCTACCGGTGGAGACTTCTGCGTTGGTGTCAGAATTAGAGATGAACATTGGTTCCGTGGCGATGATGTTATGTATGTTGACTTTGTAGAATTTCATCAACTATGCCACCTGACCTCTCTGGACAAAGTTATCATTAGCTGCTATTGCCTGTAAGTAATAATTCTTTCGATCTATTATTAAACTCATCATATGTGTGTATATGCATATAAATTATCCCAACAAGTACTATATATATGTAGATTTACAATGATGAGGCTTTCGAGAAAGGAAGGCTGCAATAAAATTGGTTTTGTTGATCCCCATATAATATTTAAAGACCCAATTACTCCAAAGACTAATTGAAAGTCTGAGTCAAAGAGTAACCTCATGAACTTCTTAGTGAACCAACGCCACAAGAAGGATATACTCTTTCCCTATAACTTCAAGTGAGTGTTAATAATATCGATCATCCTTAATGGCTCATATGTTGATTCTAGTTAATTAATGAGTATTATGCGTTATATCCTATAAACACATGCAGCAATCCTTTGGATATTGATGGACATCGATACGGTGAAAAGTCACTTGATAATCTATGACTCGATGAGAAAACCACAACAAGACTACCAAGATATGATAGATATTATCCGGAGGTAATTTCGGGATCTCTAGCAACTATATATACACACAAACATGATGATTAACTATATCGATGGCGTGGCAAATTTTTTATTAGGCGGTGTTTAGAAAACCTTTATTGAGAAGCAACACATGAAAAATGCAAAGCGCCTTTGAATGTAATCCCTTTGAAAGTAAGTCCACAGAATCGCATCATCTTTATTAATTAACCATATAGCTTTCACCGGATCACCAGATTGGATGACAAATCTTTTTCTCGTAAAGTGGTGTCTGAGGCAGGAACAGGGGAACAACTACTGTGGTTACTATGTTTGCAAGTTTATCAAGGTGTTACTATGTTTGCAAGTTTATCAAGGTGATCTCCCAAAGAACTCCTACAGAGAGACTCAAAGTACGTTAAAAATACACTATATATTTATTTAATTATTATTATTGATTGTGTTACTATGTCTTTATATAAATATATGTACATATATTAATTTATTTTCCTTTAATTCAAACCTGTAGACTCGATGGTTGGAGGAAAAGATCATATGGCAAGACCAAATCAAAGCAATTCAAGAGTCTATAGCCGAATTTTTTAATGAGCAGGTCATCGATTCCAAGGGCGAGTTCTACTTCGACCCTACACTACCATGAAAGCCAAGCTAGAGGATGAGAGAAAACTTGTTATATCACAACAACTGTAATGCAATCTTTTTGTAATATATGCACATGAAATAATATAATGTAAAATACACATATGCATGCATGCATGTAAATATATAAATGATGCATGCATGCATATATATATATATATATTTTTCTATGCTTGAATTGTGTGATTTAATACGTTAATTGTGCTTGAACCGAAACATACTATACGCGCGTATAAATGTATAATTAGCAGTGTACAATACGACTTTGAAAACAAAAAAATGAAAAGAAAAGAAAAAAGAAAAAAACCTTTAGTCCCGGTTCGTATTATCAACCGGGACTAAAGGTGCCGACCATCGTGGCATGTCAGGAGGCACCTTTAGTCCCGGTTGATGTTATCCACCGGGACTAAAGGTCCTCCTTTAGTCCCGGTTCCTGACCCGGGACTAAAGGACCCCTTTAGCCCCGGATGCTTGCTCTCGAGTGGGGAACCGGGATTAGAGGGGTTCTCCACCAGGAGTAAAGCTCGGTTCTCTACCAGTGTTACGCGATAATATGGGAAATATAAGTATATAGGACGTGCATGGCAGCAAGCATGGGTCACAATTAGCGCCTTTCCACATGTCAGGATTAGGTGCCTAGGTTTGTCCTCGTACCGGACCCATGTCAAGTCAAGTACACACAAACGTTCCAGCTGATAAGGTCCGGATTTCGTTAGTTACAGTACGTACTGGATCGTCGGTCATCGGCGACGCGGTGTGGAACACGCCGTGGCAGCCAGCGACGGCCGCCCTCAGCGCGCCGCCGTCGAGAAGGTCGGCCCTGCACAACGTCAGCCTCTCCGCCGCGCCAGGGAGCTCTCTCAGGTGCGCGTTCTTGGCATCCTCTGTCTCATCAAACAGAAACAAGGATCAACACAAGAAACTAGCATCGATCAGTGGAACATTTCAACTAGTGATATAGACGATCAATCTGCCGGCCGTGCGTAGCGTACCAGGGTTTCTCAAGGTTCCTCTGATGGTGTAGCCTCTGTACAGAAGGAGCTTGACGATCCACGAGCCGATGTACCCGCCGGCACCGGTCACGCACACCGTTTGCCCGAGTCCCGGCGCCGCTGCGTCCGCCATGGCGCGGCGAAAGAACTAATATTGTGCCGGCCGGCCGGGTTATATATAGGCCTTCAGGCGCTCAGTCGCTTTGCCTCTCTTTGTGTTTGTGCATGCTTGTTGGTAAGGTATTTATAGACGATGATTGATGACTCGTATGTGGGCATTGGCAGCAGAGACTTGTTTAGTTTGTTTTGAGTACATACTAGATACTTACTCCCTCGATCGGGCACTGATAACGTACGTAACTGTCATCTAGGACAACTGCACTGTGACAAATTAATTGAGCCACCAAAAGTTTAGTAGAAATGTTCAGAATACATTGGCGTTCAAAGTTTATGCTGATGACTGCACGAAATCTAGCTATAAAAGACTAAAAGGACACACAATTATATCTGAATCGATGTAGCATCTACCGTTGCACACGGTATCGTCTTTTCCTATATATCTATGATGTGCAATGAAAACAACTTGGCATCTCCAACACTACAATCCTATAGCTAGGTGATGTGGAAAGATCTAGTAGTATTGTATTTGGTGATCGAGTAGACTATCTAAATTACTCTCTTTTATTCGAAATTATAGAACATGGACATATTGTTCGCCCAAGCAGGTCTAGGCGTGGTTTAAATATATAAACGATAAATTAAACACTAGATGGTTTAAATTGTCAATGGTGGTAAAATAACAGTGTAAATACCATAGTTAAATGAGGTCTAAGTATGCGTAGCATCTAAATGCCTGTTTATGCAATGGCAAATAAATTAGCAAGCTAAGAGCAAGTGGGCAGGACTGGTTATTAACTAGCCCATTAAGGCCCTGTTTGATACTTCTATGATTATAATAATCAGATTATATAATTAATCATATTATGACCCAAACAAGATTGATTATATTATTGATTATTATAATCAAAATCTTTTGATCACCGTAAGCCCATAATCCAGAGAAAACTTAGGGCTTTTTGGGACGATTATGGGTGCTAAAAGTCTAACTTGCCTCCCAATCAATGATCCAAATTGCCACACTAATGGATAAGATAGGAATTTACCAACCATAATCAATCAACATAATCTAGGGACCCTAATTTTAGTTATAATAATCTTATGCATAATCTAGATTATAATAGGCCCTAACATGTGTTCTTGCAAGGGCAAGTAATGCTTAAAGACGTCAGTGCTAGAATTATGGATAATTTTTTGGGCCATATAACTACTCAATTCTGCTTCCTCTCCTATTTGCTCATACTCTAATACAAGACTGACATAGATGCATCTTATCCGGACCTGTTTGTGATAGACTCTACCTAGTTACTAATTACTCTAATACAATACATACTTACATATAGATGCTTTTCCTTCCTTATTCATACGTTTTCTTTCTTATGCCGCACCTCCATGTTTATTTGGCATCTGTGTACAGTGCACTCTAAGACAATACATATTACATCCTATTTTTTCGCGATTGTGCCCTCAGAGCATGTATTCATCAGGAGGAAGTAGAAGCAATCAAAATATAGCAGACTCTGGTAAGCCAAGGATTACCAGCAAAGATCTGACACTTAAAACAAAAGCTAATTTACCAACAGCGGTAAACAGCCTAGAACCAACAAGAGTAGCAAGAAAAGCAAGGGGGAGGGGACCCTCATGAAAAGCAAGATCAACCCCAACACCCAAACAAACTAATCTTGCGATAACAAAGACATCAACGCAATGGTTGCCTACAGGTAAGCCATAGCATTCGTAGCAAAAAGCATCCACCCAAGGAAGACGACACGTCAGTCCACTAATATCTTCAGCAAAGCATCCGCTAGATAAGAGACCCGACGACCTTGGCGGCAAAGCATCTGCCATGGGAACTATCGTGATCTTTGTAGCAAAGTAGCCACCAAGATTTGCGCAACATGGGCAGCAAAGTATCCACCATAGAAGAGACCAACAACGGCCAAGTATCCGTAGGGAAAGACACGATAGTGGCAAAGTATCTGCCATGAAAGCCGATCAATGGCGGTAAAGCATCCGCTAGAAGGAACAACTCAAACGACGCTACGGTAGGAGAACCTGTAACACCTCGGGTGTTAGCCTTGCATAACTTGACTTGCATAACATGAGCATGAGCATCAAGCATTCATAAATCATCATTTACACTCGAAACATTGAATTGAAACATAGGCAACGTTGCTTGTTATTGCATGTTTCTTTGTACTTATGCAAATAATCATGAATGAAAACATGTACTTGGTAGATTTGAGTCACCAAAATATTTTGGCAATGCTTAGGTTCACAAATGGAACATGGATCATGAATGTCATTTTCCATGGTCAAGTCTTTAAGGCATATTTCATGTGATTACTTTAAATAGCTCTATGAGTGACTACTACATGAAATGCTTAAATGACCTTGCAAATTGCTTAAACATGCTTAGAGTATCATCATGAACAACTTTGGTATTTAGGGCTAGGGCTAGTTTGGTCATTAAGCCATGCTTTGATGTGTTTCATCATTTAAAAGTGGCATGTTTGACTAAAGTGGAACTAGGTGCTAGAGACCTTGCATGGAGGAGTTCACTAAAGCAATGTTGTAGTGTTTCACATAAGGAACAACTTTGATTTTGGGTCTTTGACTGAATTAGCTCCTAACATGTGTGAAATTGGATCACAAAAATCAGGAAAAATAACAAGTTCAACACTTAGCAAATTTTTGCTAAGTCATGAACCTTGACTGACTGACAGCCAACCTTTGGTACGATGTAACTCGGTGTTGATGGCGAATTAGCACAAGGTTATTGAACGATAGTTGGAGCTGGTACTTCGGGCTACAAAAATCATGTAGATCGTTTTCGCTTAGGAGCTACGGATTTGCGGTTAAGCGACCGTGAAAACTCGTCGTCGTCAAAGCCGGCCGCTTAAGCGATTGAGCTGAATCGGCCGATCGATTCGATCATCGATGCCGATGTAAACCCAGACACCAGCGCGCGTGAAGAGGTCGCCATGGCGCGCGTCGCCGGTATACGACCGCGGCCCGCCACGACGCGTCTGAGCGTGGCATTATCACGCCAGCACCCGCCCGCTCCCGTCCGCGCCCTCAGTTTCACTTTCCCGCTCCTCCTTCGCCGTCCGCAGCACCCGCAAGCGCAGCCGCCGGGCTCCCGCAGCGCCACCGTCGTCGTTGACGGCCCAAGCCGCGCCTAACCGCTTCTCCATCACCGCAACTGCATCACCGTCTTCCCAGCAACTCCCTGCACCAGCCAGTGCCCGCTGTTCAAGCTCGGTAAGCCCCAGCGCCGTGCAACGCCTCGCCGGAGCTCCTCGCCACCCCTCCGTCGCCGTGGCGGGCCCAACCCGACCACCGCGAAGCCACGAGAGCGCGCACTAGCTTCCTTGTAGTCCGTAGATGCTCGGGCGTAGCGTTTGTTTGAGCCACCAGTAGCTTTCATGGCGCCCCGCCGTAGTCCAGCCCTCCGCCGCTCGCCATATAGCCGCCCGTCATCTCTAGAGTCGACAATAGGGGCCGCCAAGTGGCTCATTAGATCGCTAGGTCGAGTAGAAAGTCTCGGTGAAGATGTCACGCTGGCGAACTTCGCCGCCGTCGAGTTCTGTCTGGCGCGTCCAGAGTGAAGCAGCTTGCCCGGCTCTGTTTTGGTCTCATTGACCGGTGGGTCCAACTGCGCAGCGTGGGTCCTATTGTCAACGACTCTTGGTTTTAAAGATAGTTCAAAAATACCAGATTCAAGTGTGTTTTGTTATTTTGTATCTTCAGTTTGATAGCTCCTAAAATTTTGAAATAAATTTGTGAGTGTTCCTTAGGAAGTGTAGTATTTAAGAAAAATATGTTCTTGACTTGTACAGTAGAAATTTTTGGAGATTTAAATAGGGATTTGAAATGTGCTTTTGAATGCATTCAAATTTGTTTATTTTATATCTAGAGTTCCTGTGCTCCAAAAATTATGAAATTTTTGTGGTAAGCTAGTCTTTGCATATATGAGCTCTGGTAATATTTGAGGACCAGTGCATGGGTAGATTTATAGTTATAGATTTTTCTTTTATGACTAGTTAATCCTTGCATGAATTTTCATAAATTAATTATGAGTCCAAAATTCATGAAATTTGTTGGAGGTAATCCTAGTACCATATGGATGCTAAGAAAAATAGGAAATCTGTTGCTTGACACTTTTCAATAGGGTTTTCCATTTATGCTATTTCAAGCCTTGCTGCCTTGTCATTTTTGCATAGGATGTTCTACTTGGTAAAATGACATGAAATTTTTATAGTAGTCCTTTGATAGCATTAGTATGGCACTGTAAAATTTTGAGAATTTATTAAGTACTTCTGATATATATTTATTATTTAACCTAGATATATAAATAAAATAATAAAGGCAATTAAATAAATAGTTTGGGCTTCACCATTATATGATCCTAAATGTAATTGGTATGCTTAAACTGTTGGTGGATTCTATGTTGTCAAATTTTGAATGATTACATGAAGTAGAAGTATCGTTACTTTATGTTGCATGTTGAATAGTTTCCGGACAGATTATGTAGTTCGGTGAGTTGCATGTGGAAAATGATGTGTACTGTAAAAATGGTTAATAACAAAGTTGTAGAGAATTTGATAAGCTTTCCAGAAAGTCCAGGATCACTGTATTTGGATTAGTGGAACTCCAGTTATGAGTGAAACAAGTAGCTACTGTTTGTGGCATGGTCGATGTATTGTAGGAGTAATTAAGTAATAATCGAGAAGAGATATGCACCTACTCAATAAATATGATGCACTTGTTCACATTTATGCATTCGTAATACTTATGCCATACTCATGCATCTAGGATCGGAGAAAGAGATCACGTTGCTGGAATTCGAAGAAGCAGAGGAAGGGAACCAGCAGGAGGATCCGCAAGCCGCAGCTCCCGAAGGCGTGGAGCAGAACCCTGAAGAGCTTCCGGAGTGCCCTGACCACCGCCCTACTTCCTTTCTGCGAGGCAAGCCTCGGAGCATTATAAGTCTCCCAGTAATTTACAAATGTT